AGTGCATTTATGTTCCAGATGACCAGCCCAGACTCTCGAATAATGGCATGATTCCCAGCTCGCTGGCCATTTGGGCCAAACTAAAGCCAGGGCTCGTTCAGCTCCTATGCATCCCATCTTACCCCTGGTCTACTCAGGGCTGGTGCAACCCATTAGGCGACCTAGGCAGTCGCCTAAGGCACTAGCATTTGGGGGGCTGCATTTCGGGTCCTTCGGCGGCAGCCGGATCTTTGGCCGCCCCGGTTGTCATCAGCGTTTAGGTGGAGGGAGCTGGGGCAGGGGGGCACGGGGAGGGCCGCCTGCAGCAAGTAAGGGGGGGGCGGCATGTAGGGGAACCGCTCCCTGCCCCAGCTCACCTCTACTCCACCTCCTCCCCTGAGCACGCCGCCCCGCTCTTCTTCTCTCCCTCCCAGGCTTGCGACGCCAAACAGCTGATTGGCGCCGCAAGGCTGGGAGGCGGGAGAAGTGGAGCAGTGACGGCGTGCTCGGGGAGGAGACGGAGCAGAGGTGAGCTGGGGCGGGGAGCTGCCGCGCAGCTCCCCGGGCCGGGGAGAGCTGCTGCGGGGGGGGCGCCTCAGGGCGGAGGGTGGGAGCTGCCGCGGGTGGGGGGCGCCTCAGGGCGGGGGGGGGGGGGGGCGCCTTAGGGCGGAGAGCTGCCACAGGGCTCGAGGAGGGGAGGGGCGCAAGGTGGAAGTTTCGCCTAGGGCACAAAACATCCTTGCACCCTCCCTGGGTCTACTATAACCCTGGATTTCATAGTAAAACTACCTCACTCTTATGGATGTACAGTTGTTTTGGTCGCCGTCAATCTCTGACCAAGATGGCACACTTTATCCCCTCTTGCATCGTTCCCACTGCCCTGGAACTGCCTGTTTCTTGAACACATCTTGCAGCTCCACGGACTACTGACCAGCATAGTGTTGGATTGAGGCCTAATGTTTGTCTCCCGTTTCTGGCAAGAGCTCTTCAAACTTTTGGAGGTAGAACTCCTCACCTCCTCTCCATATCATCCACAGACCAATAAGCAGGTGGATTCTCAAACAGTACATCCCATGCTTCCTGAATTGCCACCAGGAGGACTGTGTCTCCCTGCTTTCATATGCCAAATTCACTTACAACAAGGTGGTCCACGGCCACGCCTCCATTTGGCAGAGCCCATTCTGCCCAATTATGGCTTCCACCCTCTGTTGCCCACAAGCTCCTGGGTTCCTGCATCAGTGGACCTGGTCACCCATATGTATCACATACAACAAGAGCTCATAGAACATGCAGAAGCCACTAAAAAGCTCTATCAGCAGTCTGCAGACAAGCCACCCCCAAACTAGCTATCAGGGACACAGTCTGTGTGTCAACGAGGGAAGTTGTACCAATATAAATATAGCGGTTTAACTATGCCAATATCATTCTATTGAAATAACTTTCCAAGTAAACAAGTGCTTAGACACCCCTGCCCCAGGGATGACTATGTTACAGCAGGAGCTATAGAGCAGCCCAGAACTGGGAAGGCACAAAGGGGGTTTAAACCACCTTAGACCTCCCCCGCACCCCCTTCCATACTCTGGGCTGCAAGTTCTCTGCTTCTTTTTCCTTATCAGGCCACCTTTAAATATTGACAATGATCTTTAACTCAGAATATAATCCACCAATTTATCCACAGGTAACCGATATTAAGCAAATAAACTTTACAGATATCTGAATTATGCATAGACACAGACTGCAGAATAAATTGAAAAGAGGTTCAGTAACATCAGTTCACCTCGAACACCCTGTTGTTGTTGTTAATATTATTTATCATAGTTCCTAGGAGCCCCAGTCACGGATCAGGAACCCATTGTGCAAGGTGCGGTACAAACTGATAGACTCCCCACCTTCCAGTGTGCCATCTTTTTTTAAAATAAACCTGACATTATACTTCAGATTCTTCCCTGGGTGGTTAAAGTGTTGCCCTGGCCAATCAGCAAAAGCCAAGGGATTTAATTAAACAGTAAACTGTTACCTTTAAAAATCAAAAGGCAATCAAGCTTATTAATTAAAAACTTCATCGGTTATTTGCCTAAAAGAAATATTCCAGTCCTCATTGCATGTTATCACTTACTTGTTTAGTAAGCATGTAGCTCATTCATAGACTTTCTCTCCCACAAATTCTCAGTGATTTTGAGTGTGAGTCTCACAATATTTGGAGTGGTGATTATGGAAGACACACTGCTTTTATATTTTTTAAAAAATAAGTGCAACACCGACCCACTCAGGGGAATCGGCAGTGGGGATCAAACCTGGGATCTCTGGAGCTTAATGCACAAGTCTCTACTGCATGAGCTAAAAGATGCATGAGTTAAAAAATGCATGTCTCTTAGCCACAGCTGTAGCAGGCTCATAAATCTCTAGAGCAGGGGTTCTCAAACTGGGGGTCATGACCCCTCAGGGGGTCGCAAGGTCATTACATGGGGGGTTGCGAGCTGTTAGCCTCCACCCCAAACCCTGCTTCACCTCCAGCATTTATAATAGTGTTAAATATAAAAAATGTGTTTTTAATTTATAAGAGGGGTCCCACTGTAGGGGTCACCAATACAAAAGTTTGAGAAACACTGCTCTAGAGAGCCTAGCCACCACTAGAGGGGGACAGAGTGCCACTCTGAGCAAGCAGGGGTTACATAAGTTTCTAGCCCTCATGGTTGTGTGGGGAAAACATGAAAATATGACCCTTAAAGGATTAAAAGCAAAAGGCAAATAAGAAGCCAACATTTATTATTTTTAAAAAAATCTCATTGTTTTTAAGCCCCTCTCACAATTTTTTGGGACCTGACTCACGATTTTTCAATACTTGGGGTTGGCAATACTGTTTTTTTTCTCCCATCTGAATGGGACATACTTTCTGGTGCTAAATATCAGGGTCTATAGTGACCATGTTGCTCTGAATCCTGCTTCCCTGGGCTGCCATATCAGGAGTAAATATCATATCCTTGAAGATCCCACTTAGCTCTGCCTCTCCCAATTTATCTGACCATGTCCCTTATTGTGTCACTCTCTATCCTCTCCATTAAGTTACTTATGTTAGCCTTGATGCCCCAATCTACTGCTCTCACAACCATCTCTGCTCTATTTTCAGTTGCATCCCTAAACACTGTGTATTTTGCCAGAGCTGTTATGCCAGGCCACTACCATGATCCTTCCCGAAGAGCCCCTTCTGCCTGATGCCTACAAGAAATGAGTCAGATGTTTAATTAATTAAAAATGTATCCCTTTCCCTATTACACTACTTCTGTTCTTTGTCCTTTTCATTTGTAAACTCCTCAGGGTAGGCTGTGTCTTTACCTACTCTAATCTAAATAATAATTATGCTAGTAGTCAGAGCTGATTCTAGGCCCAAGTGTGGAGCGATTTCTTGGTATTTTCTTGTGATAAACAGCTTGCTTACTGGTTGCTGTGCTCATAATTTAGCTTCCCCGCTTTCCTCATCTGATTTTTACTTAGGATAGGAAAAGTTGTTAGACCGGCTCTGGGAACACTATGAGTCCATTCCAGAACTGGGTGAAACAGCCTGAGAGCATGGCATCAATTTCTATCTGGCATCTCACAAGCACTTTAAAGTATTAAGTGATACAACCTGCAGATCCCAGTTCAGTTATATTTAAATTTGCAAGTTCCAATACACTGATATTAAAATTTACAGATCCCAATTCATTTATTAGTCCAACTAATCATACTCTACTAGTAGTACTTGGTTGTATTAGTAATTCCTTTTTTTTTAATTATTTAATGTTGTAGATTTCCAAGGAAAGCAAAATAATAAAAACAATGCAATGTACAGATTAAATGACTATATATAAAGAAAATGTACATGCTTTTACTATCTATTTAGGTTTTTATATGACAGCCATCACTGTAGTAATTAAACACCTCAATAATCCTAATGTCTCCTTGTCCAATAATGATTCAAATATGGGGCCACATGGCATGACAGGAAAAGACCATAAATGTCACAACAGACCACAAATAAAGCTTACCAGACTAGATGATAGAACACAAAAAATAAACTGTAATATCAATTATTTATTTTAATTACCAGTGGTGATTATTTAATACTGATCGGGAAAAATTCTTTTGCCTGACACTCCCTCTCTCTTCCTTTTCTGCTGCAGATCTCTCTTGATTTGTGCAATTTACTTTAGAGGACTATCCTCCCCACCATCTGGAACAGAAAAGAGCTTTACATTTCATCCAGGTCCCCTGGCTGCCAGTGCAAGCAAACTGACTTTTGTAAAATATCCAGTGTTGAGCGGGACCACAAATGATCGTACAAGGTCTTTTCCTTCTGATTTCTGTGTATCTGCGGGTGGAGTATCTGTGTGTGTGGCGGGGGGGGGGGGGGAGTGGAGACTCGGGCGTTGTTCTTAAAGTAAATGGCACAGATCAAGAGAATTTTTAGGAGAGAGGAGACAGCATATGACCAGTGTAAAGGGATTGTCCTGATGGCTATTCCCAGAGATGTCAGAAGAAGCCCTTTTGGAACAGACCAGTTGGGGTAACTACTGCTTCCCAGTGGCTGCTGTGTCCGATTCAGCCCTGGATGCGCAGTATCTACAGGTTGGAGGGTTACATACGTTCGCTCCTCCCCGATCCTTCCTGTCGGTGCTGTTTTTCCGGCACTGGTCGGCGATGTCCCGCAGGCATGCAGGGGTTTATTTATCGTGGGTGTGTTAATATCAGCTCCCCGAGCCTGGGCTTTCACTTCCTTTTTTATGAACAGTGCCTAGGGTGACCAGATAGCAAGTGTGGGTGGGGGGTAATAGGTGCCTATATAAGAAAACCCCCCAAAATCAGGACTGTCCCTATAAAATCGGGACATCTGGTCACAGTAACAGTGCCCATTACTAAGTAGAGGCTGGCCGCCCGGGGAGGCGCGGGGAGCCCCTGGGGGCTGGAAGGTGTGGATGTCAGGTCCGTGTACCACGCCTGCTTTGCTTTCCAGTAAATACTAACCAGGTGCCTCTCTCCGGGCGGGTGTCCGCTTCCCACTGCTGCCGCTGCCCAACCTGCGGCTGCGTCAACTCAGCGACACAAGGCGGCATCACAATATGCAACTTAGAGACCTCCGACTTCAGCGAGAGCCATAAAAACTTGATCCGGCCCCGGGGCTGCTCAGAGCGGACCGCCCGCCCGCCGGCCCCTTGCGGAGAGGGGCAGGGAGCGGCGTGGGCGCCTCGGCTGGGCTCCCTTCCACCCCCGTCTCCTGCTCCCCCCTCGCTGTGGGCTTTCCCTGTCCCCTGTTCCGCGGGGGGCTCTGCTGGGCTCCCCGGCCCCCTCCCCTGTGCGCAGGGGGCTCGGCTGGACCCCGCTGCTGTGTGTGCGCAGCGCCTTGTTGATCCCCTTGCCTCTCTCCCTGCCCCCCAGCCGGCGGCTGCTCCCCCGCCCCCAGCCTCTCCTCCGGCTCTCTCCTCTCTCCCGGCTCCAGACCCCGGTTGTGCGTGTGTCTCGGGGGGATCCCCGTTTCCCAAGCAGCGCTGTGTGCGCCCCCACCCCGCCTGCTCCTCCATGGCAGGGCACGAGTGGGACTGGTTTCAGCGGGAGGAGCTGATCGGGCAGATTAGCGACATCCGAGTGCAAAACCTCCAAGGTAAATATCCCTATATTGCGCCCCCCCCCCCGAGTGTTGTGCTCCCAGATGGATTCGATTTGGGGCTTTGAAAACTCCGGTTCTGTTCCCCTCTCCCTCCTGCCTGCCCCGTTCCGGCCGTGCGCTGACCTCACCGTTTCCTTTGATCTAGCTTGGGAGACAAACGTGTGTGTGGCATTTGTGCATTGGATCGGGGCGCGCACGGGGCTCCCTCGGAGGCTGGGCAGGGAGGGGAGGGGTGATTGCTGGGGGGGGGGGTCAGATTTGTATTTAATTTTCTTTCCTGCTTTGCTTGGGTCCTGCAGAAGGAGCCTCTGTATTGTAGGGGAGAAGGGGAGGACAACAATGTGTTAGTGCTGGACGTTCACGTTCGGACAGGTTAGATCAATGGCACGGTACAAAAGGGGGCAGTGTTATGGCACTCATGGCAGTGGTGAGATCTCAAGGGTGGAGAAGTTTCTGCAGCAGGGTGCAGGGGGCATCTAGCCTGGCGCTGTGATTCAGGGATCTCCCTAAACGAAAGGCAGCCTGGACAAAAATCCCAGCAAGAAATGATCAGGCTTTTCACTAGCGGAAGGAAACAAACAAGAAAGGAAGGGCAGTGTGTGTAAGAGGTAGAAAGGGGGCTGGGAAAGTTGCTGAGGTGTAACAGTAGGTTGTTACTTTCAGGCAGTGCTTCCTTCACTACCCAGTCACATTCCTGAAATAGTAACAGCTGGCTAATGTCCTCTTCCTTTGGGGAGGACCTACATTTTGGGAGGGCTAGAAGTCTCAGCCTGCCAAGGTTTCAAACAGGGGGTGAAGACCCAAAAGGAGAGGCCCACATTCTGAACTGCAGAAAGATAACACAGGGAATCACCCTGACAGAATGCTTGGGCTCTTTTGTTTTAACTCTGGATAAAAATAGTCTTAACCTTAATGTAAAGTCATTCATTTAGATAATAATTAATAAACACTGAGCTAACACCGTGTTTTGGGAGGCCAGAGATCATAACACAAAATCTGATTCTGCATTGTTGGGGTACGTGGGAGCTTTGCCTTTGAGTTCAATTGGAGTGTATTCAAAGTGCTTTACACACTTTGGAGCAAATTCTGCTCGGTTGCCCTGGAGTAAAATTTGGAGTAACTCAGCTGAAGTCAATACTGCCACTTCAGATTTACACTAGTGTAACCGTACAGAATTTAGCCCACCATCTGATTAAAAAAAGGTGACATACCCCCTTGTGAGCTACAGTCGAATAAGCATAAGCAGAGCTGATACACTGACTATCAGATACTTTTGCTATCTTTCTGTGGGACATACTAGCTACACTGAGATATAACTATTACCGTTAAATAGTACAGCCCCGATAAACTGTTTTCTCCAAAGTTATGTTTGCCCCTCTCCAATTACCCATGGTTGGCAGAGATAATGTGAACTGATGTAACAATAAAGAGCAGCTCTGCTGTGCAGGGATAGGAAAACAATTTGTTTAATGTAACCTACCAATCATCTTAATCAACAATTTGAATTAAACTGAGATATAAACTCTATCTCCTATTAAAATAAAAGGCTTGGATTATAGGCCATTATTTCTTGCTGTTGATGCCTAATGATATGAAAGTAATACATGTTGGAAGAGACATTGCATTTGCTGGAAGGTGGTTTTATTATATTGTATTTAATTTACCTGGGAGGAGACCAAAACCAGCCTTTCTGTTAGCTATCCATTTGTGGAAGTGCAGGTGAATTTTAATTAAGAGATGGGCTCATTTCGCAAAATGGTGATCTGCATCTTGAACACTCCAATATTCAGATTTTGAATTTATCCAAATTTTGGGGGGTTGTGGTTGAGTCAGTCTCTAGTTTTAGCAATCCCTCATTACAATATAATTGCAGCATTTGACCCACTCTTGGTTATCTCTCTTCCACTGACGATTAACATGGACTGTCTGAACCCATTCCCCCCAAATCCCCTGAATGACCCAACTTTATAACTATCCGCTGATTATATACAATAAGATTTTACCCTAAAATTCACTGGTGTATTTTTGAGGAAATGATTCCATAAAAGAAAATTAATTAAAAATGTATCACCCCTTCTTTTCTTTACCTCCTAATCATTTGTTTAAGAATGAATTAAACTTCATTACCCTCTGTGAAACTTAAAGATACAGAGACACACTGTTCTAGAGAGCCTCTCTCTTAAAATTCCTACAGTCCTGCAGAGGAATAGCCTATCCTGTGGGGCAAATTCCGTTGGATAACACTGAGTTCACGAAAAACCACATTCCCTTCTTACAATATAAGAGGAATTCTGAATATTAGTTGTCATCTCACTGCATGTACTACTATAAGATATTTGAAAGACATGTCTTACCTTAGCTATTAAAGGGGGAAAAGGCATCAGATGAGGATATGTACAATGGCTTAGTTCTAGAATAAATAATAATACCTAGCACTTATATATTACCTTTAAATCATAGATCTCATATAACTTTATAAAAGTGAATAAGAATTATTCTCTACATTTTACAAATGTGGAGAACCTAGCACTCAGAGAGTTTAAGAGACTTGCTCAGCATCACCCAGGAACTCAGTGGCAGATACAGGAATAAAGCCCAAGGCCCGGACTCTCAAAGATACTTAGGTGCCTACATTACATTGATTTCAATGGGAGTTAGGTGCCTAAATACCTTTGAGGATCAGAACCTGAGTCTCCTGCCTTTCAGTCTAGTGCAGGGGTCGGCAACCTTTCAGAAGTGGTGTGCCATGTCTTCATTTATTCACTCTAATTTAAGGTTTCGCGTGCCAGTAATACATTTTAAAGTTTTTAGAAGGTCTCTTTCTATAAGTCTATAATATATAACTAAACTATTGTTGTATGTAAAGTAAATAAGGGTTTTAAAATGTTTAAGAAGCTTCATTTAAAATTAAATTAAAATGCAGAGCCCCCCAGACCGGTGGCCAGGACCCGGGCAGTGTGAGTGCCACTGAAAATCAGCTCATGTGCTGCCTTTGGCACGGGTGCCATAGGTTGCTTACCCCTGGTCTAGTGCAATATGCACTGTAACATGCTGCCTAGCTGAGAATAAATTTTTTAAAAAAAGGGCAAGATGCTGATTTCAGTTACAAGTGTCTGAGAACAGAATTTGGCCCTCCGTTTATAAATCTCAGTTCTATCCAAATCTAAAATTTTTATAACGCACCAATACTATATTAGTTGCAGAATCTATAAAGACTCCTATCAGTATTCTAAAGAGTTTATGAATATTTATAAATATTTGTGGAATAGATACACTGTTTCAATCTGTATTGATACACCTATTGTTTATTTAAGTAGGCCCTATCTTTTTTTCACATTGGAATGCATGCTTTTATTGTAGCAAGGCTTAAAAATGATTTGAAATATTTTGTGCCCAATCTTGGCTTCACTGAAGTGAGTGGGAGTTTTGCCCTTAACTTCAAATGCCCTCTCATGCTGTTTCACTGATGAAGAGTTATTTTCTTTTTTTAAATAGCTAATGTAATTCTTGCAATTCAACTTTATTTTGAACCTTTGTAGTTCTGTAGTAACTAAACTGTGAAATTTTGATCTCACAAACTATCTGAACTCTGCACTTATAGTTCATGATTTCATCAGAATCTCTCTCTCTCTCTCTCTCTGGTTTTATAATTCACTGTAATGTAATTTACATGTTAAAAATCCCTGTGTAAATTAAAATTGCTAGTAGGCCAAGCAGTGCTTAATCTGTAATGAAAAGTGTGCTGGAGCCCAAGCAATTTTTTTACTTTCATAGATGCAGCAAGCCCAGAGGTGTCGGGGCTATGAACTGCCAAGCCTAGAGGTGCTGGGGCTATGAGCTGCCAAGCGTAGAGATGCCGGGGCTTAGCCCTGGCATAAATTAAGCACTGAGGTCTTGCCAGTTACTGGAATTGATCTGCTCTCCTTTTACACAACTTTCTACAGTGATGTGGTTCCAATAATTACTCTCAATTTATACATTGGTATGAGAGCAGAATTAGGCCTGATAACTTTACACTTCTATTAAAAATTGATTGGGGCAGATTATAGTGTGCTAACATTCTTGCTTTTTTACTAAAAGATTAAAACTGGCACAGCCATTGGCGAAAGCTGCTAACCACTGCGACTACTGAAACATGGTATATAAGAAAATAAATGCCAGTTTTAAAAATGGAACTGCCAGCTGGATGTTTAGACATGGCCATATGCTGATGGGTTTTTACTTTCCCTTTTTATTAAAAACTCCTATTTTCAATGTTTTAAAATAGGAAGTGATAGTAAAAGGCCATCTCAGGTAAATGCTGCTAAAAGCTACAAGAATATTTTCCATTTTAGATAAGAGAACCAGGAGTGATTTCAGGGCATAGACTCAGAAAAGTGACAATCTAAGGGAAAGAAAAAATGTGGAATAAGTACCTGGCTTGTTGACATACAAATCACTGAAGCGTCTCTCTCCTATTTTTTTTTTTTTTTATGATGCAGCTAGGTGCCTTTGATATATTTATATCCTTGTGCTATTTGCTCGGTTCATAAATTCTCTGTACCATATTCCTCTAAACACCAAAAAGAAAAGAAAAAATGCACTGAATGTCTGACTACATCATAAAGCGGTGGAATGCTCAACAATTAATTTTCAGCCAAGAGAAGATTATTTTTATCACAATAACAGCAAGAACATTTTGTTACAACGTATGAATATTTTAACATCTTCCCAACAGGAAGGTTAGTTTAGGCATATTCAAAAATGGCCATATGAGTGAGTGTGCTCATTTGCCTAGCTTTATTCACTAGAATGAAGCAACATCTGTTAAAGAAAATAATTCCTGAAAGAATATTTTTGACTGTGATCCAGTGCTCTGTAATAGTCTGAGTAATGTATATTATACTGTACACATCTTTCCCTACATTAGCTAGAATGATATATGTAGAGAAGGACACTTCTGTAGTCAGAGGTTTTATGCACCTTTAGGAAGTTAGTACTATAGCAGTTATTGA